AAAATACATGTGCTCGACGGTTTTGTTTTTCATATAAATGACTGACCACATATGAGAATTATGTAAGACGCGGCCGCATATCTAGAGAGATGCAGCGCATATGCAGGCACATCTCTCTAAAGCACAAATGCGGCCTGTTGCGATGCGCTGCCCAACGCATAATGCTTTATGCGGCCGCATTTTAAAACCACGCCCCCACCTCCGAACAGACTTTCATTCAAGCTTCCTCTCCTCGACCCCCTCTTACCCCGCTTCCTACCATCCACTCGGGGCCTCCCGCCCTTGCCTAGTTGACCCTTCTCCATTCCTATTGGGCAGTCTCACTCAACCTTATTGTCAGTGCCATGAGATTTCCTCTGGTGGGAAACTTCACTCCCATGAAGAATGACACAAAAGGGTAGAAGCTTGGAGTAGAGACATCTGGGAAGTACCGGACCACATATCGCTGTCTGTCCTCAAACGATGTACTATTGTATTTCCCATTCGAAGCCTGCTGTAGCAGAGCCCTGTAGGGACCTAATCCTCGTTTCGAAGGGGTAACCCTCTCCCTATAAGCCTGGAACCAAGAGATGGGAGCCATAGCTCCGCAAAAGATATGGCTCAAAGCCTCACACATTCCCATGCAGGAATGGCCCATCGACACTTTTAAGAAGATTGGGAACTCTTACAGAGCCTTCATTTTTGTCCACCGAAAGTCGTCAGGTTTTCTTCCCCTTGGGTCGAGCTAACTTCATGTGGATACCCTTATCCCTTCCCTTATTTTGCCTTTCCTATGGCTCGAAGCAGACACCATTTTCTTCCGTATTCCCTTGACATGGTCCTCTGCATCTTCCCCCTCTCCTCGCCATTTTAGGGACCACGAAATCCCTCCTCATGGTCCTTAGCCTCGGAATCCTTCAGTAGTCCAGACTATGGTTTCTCGTAGAAGACGTGCGAGGAAACATAGCACCCATCGTGATCACCATCAAGGCTGACCTTGTCAACAGGCCCCCCCACCCTAAGGATGCCCATCCTCATGGGATGACCAATCACGATCTTGATGTGACGACAGGGGTCACCCCCCTAGGTTAGATGCACTTGGTGCATCGGGCAGCATTTGGATCCTCTAGGATCCATCCTTACATTGGCTTTCCATATTTGGCTAATTCTCGATCACTGACCCTAGCTAGGATCTCAGACTCCATGCTATGGAAGTGCCCTGTGGTCCTACTTTCTGGAGAGAACTACAATTGGCGGCCTACTTTCCCCAACCTAGTGCCTAGGAGGAGATTTTAACGTAACCGGATGGTCCCATGAGCATAACTCCCACAATAGAATCACTCCATCCCATCGTCCAGTTTTCATATCCCTTTGAAAGGAGCTAAATTCATCTGGTCTAGCCACTCTGCCAGCCCTAGCCTCTCAAAACTCAATAGATTTCTAACCTCTATTGACTGGGATAATCTATTCCCCAGGCACCGCCCAAACCCACCTCGAACCAGCGGCCCATACTTTCAGACACCCAAGCCTTACCTCGGACCATCGGCCCATACTTTTAGACACCCAAGCCTTACCCCGGGGGCCAAAACCCTTCCGATTTGAGTTGGAATGGCTCCAAGGTGCAAGTTTCGCCTCCCTTGTCCGTTCCTAATAGGATTCCTTCTCTCTTCTTGTGAGAGGTTGTGCTGGTTTCAAGTAGCATAAGAAAGTTCAACTACTCAAAGCCTTTCTCAAATCGTGGAGTTCTCAACTCCCTGGGAATTTTCGCAGCCAAAAGGACTACATGTTGCAGTCTATACAACAACGGGATTCCGTCTAAGACAATAAACCTTTCTCCTTCTGAGATGGATTCTTGCTCCAAGGAGAAACATGATTACCATTGCCTCCTCAAGAAAGAAGAAATACACTGGTCATAACGTGCCAAAGTTAAAAGGCTTAAGATCGGGGACCAAAATACTGCCTATTTGGACAAAATCACCAATTGCCGGAGAAGGGAAAACTCCATTACCTATCTAAAGGTAGGAGAACATACTGTTGACCAACCCCATCTAACGGACCTAATAGCAGACCAATACTTCTCCTAGCTTTTCTCAACGCCAAATCGACCTAGACCGGAAATGGCAGACCTCTCCTTTTCAACCATCTCCCCTGAAATTGCAGCCTCCGTTGAAAGACCCTTCTTTGAGGACGAGGTCCTTCAAGCTATCAAAGATCTCAACGGTAACCAAGCTCCCGATCTCAATGGATTCCCTACGGCACTTTTCAAAGACTTTCGGGACACCCTAAACCCTGATATCACGGCTTTTGTTGCCGAATTCTACCCTAGGGCCACTATCCATAAGGCTATGAATGCTACCTTCTTCCCCTTGATTCCCAAAAAAGGGAGCTAAGGAGCTCAAAGATTTTAGGCCCATTAGCCTGATCAACTCTTCCTACAAGATACTTTCAAAGGTCCTCGTGTCTTGGCTTAAGTCAGGTCTCAACCTGGTTCTCTCTCAGTCCCAAGGGGCTTTTGTAGGTAACTGCCAAATCCTCGACGGGGCCTTAATCGCTCATGAATGTATCCAATCTTGGTCAAGCTCCAAAACTCCTGGCTTTGTTATCAAACTAGACTGGGAGAAAGACTATGACCATTTTGATTAGAAAATCCTAGATGAAACCTTTTTTTTTATGGGATTTGGGCTGCTCTGGTGAAAATGGATCCAAGGGTGCATCTCCAAACCCCAATGCTCGGTCCTCATAAACAGCACCCCAAAGGATTACTTCCAAGCATTGTGAGAGCTCTGCTAAGGGGACCCCCTTGCACCGTTCCTCTTTGCCATAGTGGCTGAGGTTTTCAGTGCCTCCATTTCTCGCATGTATAGTGCAGGTCTCTTCTCGGGCTTTGAAATTGGAAGGTCGGGTCCCTCAATCTCTCACCTCCAATACACCGGCAATACTCTCCTCTTTTTTTAATGCCACCCAACAAGAAGTCAATTGCTTACAGCTCTTTCTTCAATGCTTGAGCTGGCCATGGGTTTTAGAGTGAACTTAGAGAAAACCAAGATGATAGGCAATTGCCTAGATCCTGATGTGGTTCAAAGTTTTGCTAACTATTGAAGGTGCGCTATTGATGCCTTTCCCTCCACCTAACTTGATATTCCGCAATATATTGGCCTTCCTTGAATCCAACATTGAAGCCCTGTCAGACAAATTTGAGAGGCGATTGGCTACTTGGAAAGGGAGATTCTTATCTCCAACTGGTAGAGTGATGCTCAGTAAGGCCACTCTCTCTAGCATTCCCCTTTTCTTCATGTCACTCTTCTTTATGTTTCTGCAAGGTTGGAAAAGCTCATGAGAAAGTTCATAACCACAAATTCCATCTTATCTCCTGGGCCAAAGTATACCGACCTAAAGCTCTAGGGGGTCTTGGAATCCGGGATCTTAGATCCATCAACATCGCCCTAATGGGAAAGTGGTGGTGGCATTTTACGACCCAACCAAACCATCCATCTCTGGCAAGAGGTAATTATGCACGAGTAATGTTGTGAAGACCATGATTGGCTCCCCTTTTGTAGGATGGGAGGTAACAACTCACATGGCCCTCTAGACTGATTTGCTCCTTCTCTTTAACTGGCAGTGGGTAACTCCCCCTTCAGCCCCTCACCTATTCTCCACATGTCTTCATACCCCTTGAAGGAAATCAGGAGAACTACTTTGGAGGGCCTCCATATCCGCCACTCTCTAGATCATTTGGCTAGAAAGGAACAACAGGACGTTCAGAGGGGAGAAAGCCACCATTTCAACCCTCATCGAGAAGCGAAGGTCTCTCGTCACTTTCTAGACCATCAATCACAAAATTCCCAAGCTTCTTTTATGGAGGCCGCCAAACACCGGGGTCATTAAGTTGAATTTTGATGGTCGCTATCTCGGTGACTTTGGTCCCTCCAGCATTGCAAGCATATTTAGGAATTCCAAAGGCCTAATTATTCTCGCCTACACCTTCCCCATTGGAGTCACGAACCCCACTACTCAAAAGGCAATGGCCTTGCTAGAAGGGCTAAGAAGATTCGATCACAATTGGAGTTCACAGGTACCAGTCGAGGGTGACTCCAAAAATACCATCTATTGGGCCTCTGGAATTGCCCTTAGCCCGTGGACACTAGACCACATTTTTACATATATAGCTCATATCTGCAACAATACTCGTGTCTCTTGGAGACGCACACATAGGGAAGCTAACGATGTTGTCAACACCTTAGCAAGGGCAGGAGCTAATCTCAACACCTTGCAGGGGACTGCAGGCATTTTTTTAGCATGCATCCCATTAATTTTCTCGATTCTGGTGCTGAGCATTTTTTGGACCCCTAGGGGTTTTTGTACAGGGAACCCAATCATTGGGATTGCCTAATTTTGTATCTACCCTTAACCTGTATCTCTTTATACTTATCAATATCACAGTCAAACTTATTCAACAAAAAAATAAAGGAATGGATAAAATTTTTCTACATAAGCGTTTTGGAAGATAATAAGAGTGTTCGTGTGCCATTTATAAGACTTAATGCTTTGATTTCATCCTGAAGACTACTTGGGTGGTATGTTTTGAACAACCGATTTGCACAAGGCTCCTCCTGCAAAAAGGTATCCTCATGCGTGGCCTCGGTATGTTACTTTTCCTTTTTTACAGGCTTTATCAAGATAATGGGAATCAGTGTATCCATGTGGCCTTGTTGCCCTTAAGTTTCTGCCCTTTTTCTATATTCCCTTTAGTAATTGCTGCCCTTCAATATAGGTACAAAACCCAAGTGTTTGAGCCGACTTGACCACAGAGATGAGATGATAATGCCGAAAGATGGATACAGCTGCACATCGCTCCCTAGATCTTATTAACTGTGTTTTACTTCTATTTAGTAGGAGAAAATGGCATTGAAAGCACAATGGTATTCAGCCTCCAGAAAAGCGACGGGATTGAAATAGTTATCACACCGAGAGAACACCTACATGAGTTCTTAAAGAAACAAGATAGGCAAACACAGAGCATAGAGTACTGTGATACTGTGACAAATTTTCAATCATTAGAGAGCATGAAACAGTAAACAATGGACAAAAATATGCACTAAATCACAATGGAAATTGATACCCAAGTTAAAACCAAACTCTATCACAAATAAGAGAATCTATAATTACAGGCTTTTTTGAGGACAAGTGTGTTTCTTTCCTGGTGAAGCAACTCATTTTGACAGCCAGTAGAGAAGTATAAGAAACGTGCATGTTGATGCCACAAGGGAAAGAATGATAGTGTCCATTGACTTTCGTCGTTTTATGGCTGAGAGGATGTGGTTTACCTGCACAGTTGTTTCATAGCGTATCCATTGATACCAAACTCCAAATTGCATATCTCAAATATTCAAACGCCAAAAGTTCTAAAGTAGATCAACAATTGAGTATGTCCTATGGAGGACTGACTCACTGACTTGCATCCCAAAGCTTTAACCAAAGAAGGGAAACATTGATATGGGGAATGTAAACCATAGTTAGAAAAAGACCATGGTACCCCAAGGCTATATCCGTTGTGCATTATAACAGGGGAATGGTTAGAGATTAACTGGAGAGGAAACCCAATGGACACATTCACCAGAGTATACCAACCATCCATCCATTTAAACAGACAATGGATGTAGCTTGAGGGTACCATGTACCATCATCCTTAGGACTTGGATCATCATAGTACACATAGTTCATAGGACTATGGCATACTTCCCCTGCATTGTGAGCAAAGAAGAAAATATTGGCACTTACAGAAGGGAGTCGGCTGCTGACGTTGCTTATTTTATAGCTGATACCACTGAATGTTGAGCGCTGAAGAACGAGCTCACCAAAAGTAGCTTGGGCTTGGGAGATCACATTGTCAATCTGTACAACTGCAAGAGTTCAGATGATGACATTGGAAAAAACCTAGGCACAAGCGCCAGAATCTTACTTTCTAGTTTCAATTTCACTAATAAGCAGGAAATTCCCTAAGCCAAATTGCCAACCATTCTTACACATAATGAGGAAACAAAAAACATGTATCGATAATCTAATTTTACAAACACCCAAATTTGTTGTAGACACGGGTTCTGCAACCCACAAAGCTGCATAACCATTGTGGCACTCTTATCCAAGTACTGGGGTATTATATGTCAGCGAAAACAAAAACAAAAAAAAAAAAACTACTGCAACAATGGCCACATAATGGAATATATTCTAAAACACATATTTTAAGGACTTTCCCCAAATATTTCTTCCGACTAAATATCAAAGAAGATTAAGTTACAAACTCTAGCTTATGGTGCTTATACAAATTAATAGAAGAATTTGGAGGACTAGCAGAAATTGTATCGATTTTATAAACTTTACACTTCATATCTGCAGCAAATGTCATTAGCATTAGCAAGCCGAAATCCTATAACATACTAGTTAAACAAAAATGACTGCCCATTTAAATACTGTAAGTGAGGGCATTCAGTTGCTAGGATTGCGCTAACTGCAATGGATATATCACTAATAAACAACTGGCACATCTTTCTCTATGCAAGTTGAACAATTAAACTAACTATAAAAATATGAAAACGGCCATTTCTAAGTGAAAGAATAACATTTCCCTGATAACAGTTGCATGAAAATAACTAGTATTTCCGGCGTGCTATATTTAGCACTAAGCTAATTTGTATTCTAGTCGAATACTACCCAAATTCATAAGCCACTGAGATACTTTTGAACCTAAATTGAAAAATACATACAATACACACATTGTGTAGTCTTTATCCTACCTGTCCTGTACCTCTGCTCAATGCTGCTTGCTCTCTAAGAAGGGCTTGCTCAGCAGAACTACCATCTTCTAGATCTCCCTTTGACTGATCAGAGACACCATAATTTTTTAGTAGTGATGCATGCTCCTGTGCAGCTCTGAGGCTCGACCGAAGTCGGTAAAATTCCTGGGATTTTAATTAGGAGTACATGACAGAACAAGAGAAATGAGGAACCTCTTCCATACTACTTAATAATGCTAAACTAAAACATTGTAAAATATTACCTGAGTAAAATCGTGGAGAATCTCTTGATGCCGAGTCAGAGTATGAGAAAAAACTTCTGAACTTCCAGAAGATACCCAGATTTGCATCTGTGAATTCACATGCTGAAGCTGTTTTAACAGATGGTCGATTCCAGATTCAAGATCCTTCTCATTCACATCACCTTTTGCAGCTACCAATTTGCGATACAAATTTATTTGCTCATCCAATTGTGCTTCGAGCTTTCTTGCCTGCATGCCAAGCAAAAGTTCTTTGGATTTGTCACACATTCAACAGAAACAGCACAGTAAAGAATTTACATAATATTGGTTCAAGCATACAGAAATGACACCAGATTTCAATCATTGGCATGTTCATCAGTTAAATGTGGATGTCCAGAAATCCATCAGGAACAGAAGAATGACGTGTTAGATAAAATAGTATCCTATTAGCTCTGTTTTCAGTACCTTCTTTAGTAAGAGTACGGTTAGCATTCAGAACCAGATCTTAGATTGAAGGCAGACCAGCACCAGAGAGGATGCTTGTTAATTAATTTGTTTGCTCCCAATGGCTAGCATGAGAAATTTGCAGCAGGCACACCCACTGATTTATCAATTCACAAACATGACATTTCCATTCGTAAATGTATAATAAATAAATATAGATATATATATTTCATGCTAACCCCATACTGCTGACTGATCTTGTTTGACTTAATCACATGCGTGTAATTTACTGGAATCCACAAAAATGAGAAATAAATATTAAAATGATTTAGTGCAATATAGGACGATTGAGCCCCAACTTCTAGGAGGGGAGAGCCCACGCCTCCAAGACCTTGCCGGGGGCCTTACCAGATGGTAAAATCTAGGAACTTAACCATATGTGAGTGTTGCACCCGATTTTCGTGTGTGCGTGAGTATGTGCGTGAAAACACATATAGAAATGACACCAAAATAACAAGAAGCAAACACACAATAAAATAGAACACAATCTTCCAATTAAATCAAGTAAAATACTTACAAGATGGGGTTTGGAATCTCCCAGGGCTCTATCTCTCTATCTCTCTCTCTCTCTCTGTGGCATGATTTGAGTCAATTTGAGGTATAAGGGTTGGAGTTTCTCTCTCTCTAGAATTTTGGAACCTAGAGGTAAAGCAAGGGTTTCTCTCTCTAGGAGTTCCTCTCTCTAGCTCCCTCTCTAAGGGGAATTTCTCTCTCTAGGTTCTAAGGTTAAGGTTTCTCTGTCTAGAATTCTCTATACCTAAACTACACAAATAAACTCCCCCCTTCAAAATGAAGGTGCTTAAACCCTTCTATAAAGGGAGTTTAGAAAAAGGGTATATGGTCAATTTTAAGGGGGCAAGGGGGGTGGATAATCAATTTTTTATCCTTTCCAAACACAAAATGAAGGGAAACAAGGTCAGCAATACTTGGAATCCGACTTAAGTGCCTCATAAAGCCTTCCCCAACCCATGCCTATGAAATGAGCCTTTTATTTCTTATTTTCAGGCACCAAAACAACCATCTGTCACGAGAAAAATGTAGACCAGAATCCCACGACCGATTTGCAAAAACTTTCACCCAAAAACTCCAAGATATGAAGGAGTTTTGGAATTTTTTGTGGGCTTGAACCAGAATTCAGTAATATCCCCTTTTCCATACACAATCCTCCCAATCTCCAGCAGGTTTTGGCTGGATTTTTGGTTCTTTATGAAGGGGAAAAGATTAAGTTCCACACTATGGGTGATGTGGCTCAAAAAATCATCAAAAAACTCTTCATATTGAGTGAGTTATGGATCTTTTTGCTGCATGAAGATCATAACAATCAGCTACATCATAACTTTGGATGCACATTTACTTCAAATCAGACCTCGATCTTTGTCTGATCATAGATTCCCATAAACCATGATAACGGTCATCGAGCTGAGATTCCAACGCACCAAATCCCACAGCCGGATCCTTCCTGAATTGAGAATCGGCCGAGATCAATAACTTATGAGGTTTCCCTAGCATAAAAAGTACCCAACTTCTCTCTAGATTTCAATCACCTTCTAGCGGAGGATACCCTTCGATGCATCCAAATCCCAGTTCCAAACTTCTCGGGATTTGGAAGAAATGGACCGTCATTACAAAAAAGTGCTGTTTTAGCAGTATTTTAGCCCACTTGCTATGGACCATGGAAATTAAATGCTCGATAGTATGCTCCAACCTCAACCTTTTAGTAAACATGGCCAAACAACGTTGGATCATCCTGAAACTTAGGGGTTCCAGTTTTCCAGCCTGTGTACCATGCTTCCACAGACTGCATCTGCAATAGCTCCTTCACTCGAATCGTTTTAAGCTGAAACTTAGGAGATATCTTGGGGTGCTTGGGGCTAGTTCTGGGTAAAATTCCGGCTATTTTGCATCCATTATTATAAGCTGCCAGCGCCCTCCTTTATTATGTACTCCACAATACATTTGGGGTTTCCCAAAAAGAGGGGTTTCCCAAATTTGGGGCCAAAATGCATGTTTGGGGACCTGTCTTCCAATTCCTATATTTCAAATATTATTCTAGTGTATATGGTACTGGAATCCCACCGGGGCTGTCAGCTCGGCATGTCTTCAATATGTCGTCTATTTTAAGGTACAAAGAGGGCCTCATTCCCACCCTCCAGTTTCAAATGAGCCTTCTTTCAGTGCACGTTTGTTGTTATGTGATCCACTAGGTGAGGTGATGCAAAATTTGTGAAAATAGTAAGAAATCCCTCACCTTTCTTGCTTGAGACTCTACACACTCCTCTATGCTTTTTACCCCAATCTATGGGTTTCACTACCCATGAGATGCATGGTTAGGGCTATTTTTCATAATTTTCCCCAGTTTTCCACTCCTCCTCCGCCCCCTCAACACCCCACCTTTCTATTTTTATATTTGTTTCTTCCTTGCTTAATTTTTCTTTCTATTTTTGGTTTACACAAAACATGTGGCTTGCAAGGGGGGTGACACAAGCCGACTCGCAAGTCTAGAATCGGTTTGTTAAATCTTTGAAATGATGGTTTGGGTTTGACATGATTTACATTAGTTGTTGTAAGTGCCTCTTTGGGAGGGCTTTTAGATTGGATTTTTTTTTTTTTCCTAGTAAGTTATATTGTATTAATTGGGGATATACATACATCAAATTGCACTTTAAAAGATACATATGAATGGAGACGTATACATCAAAAAGAAAACAAACGGAAATGGGGGGAGGACAGGCATAACGATAAGATGTCATATTCTACATGAGAGGGGGTATTGTATGCGTAAGAAACTCGATATTTCTCCCCTAGCAATTCAATATTGTTTCCTCCTTAGCAGGACCATCTACCATCCAATTGGATTCCCTAAAGATGGGAGTGAACATGGAACTAATGGCTTCACTCAACAAGAATCTCCTCCACAATATTTGCCAAATTCCATGGAAAGAGGGACTTTCTCTCTTCCAACATATAACAATTAGAGAGTACTCTCCACGCTAAGAGGCAATGCAAAGGAGTCCATAGAACCTTAGTCCTTTCAAAAGCATCGACCTTTCAGTGTTTGTGGAGTCATGAGTCCCCAAAGGGACTGAGAAGGACATCGAAGTGTTCCCTATGCTATCATTAAACACTCCTTCCACAGCTGCAAGGCCCGGCTTACCTAAGGAGCTACCATCAAAGTTAAGTTTCATAGTATCAACCGGAAGAGGCGGCCATCTAAGTTATGGCCTCAGTTTAAGCTCAGCCCTTCGAGCAATTGTCATCAATCAATAACGAAGTTCTGAGCTCTCACCCCAAAAAGGTAGGCCCTTACAAGAGCCCAGGTCATGATCACATCATTTATCCTCTTGCATATGATGGCATGGTGGGTCCTAAGCACAACAAAGATGCTTCCACTATGCTCCTTCCTAATTTCATAGAGAATCTCTAAGAGGTATAGGTCCAGATATAGAAACCCTTCCAACATGCTCTTTCCTAATTTAGTAGAGAATCTTTGGGGTCTATTTATAGAAACCCTTCCCAACATGTTGCAAGGACCTTTATTGAGGAAGGTTTCACCCATAGTGAAGGGAACCTTGTGGGTAGAGTGACTATCCCACTCCAGAACCTCGATCCCACGGTTCCTGCAAGGGATCTTGCAGGGACCCCAATTTTTCAATTTCGAGATCTTGCTCCCAAAAAAAGGTGGCCACGTTCCTTCCATCAATTGAATCCAGTTCCATTTTAAAATATATCCATGCACCAATCAACCATGGTCCAATGTTTTGGTGCATTAAAATCTTGGGTTCCATGTTTGTGGTTTTACTTTAATTAACAGATGACACCAGGTTAGAGATTGTCATTGTCTGAAGTTGCCATTATTTAGGAATCATAACTTCAATGATGTTAAAATCCACTCCCTTCTTTGCATAGCACGAAGTTCCATTATTTTAGATTCTTAATTTGAACTAAGTATAGTCTAGAGTGACCCATTGTTTTATTAGGTCCTATTGTGTAAGCCATCCCTCTTAGTTGTGAGAATATATATTTTATTTAAAATCTTATATTTATAATGTCCTATTGTTTTAGAGTCTTAAATCTGATTACAGTTGTGAGATGAGAATATATGCTTTCGTTTCAAGCTTTAAAAAACTTCTTTTATAGGAGTCAGAGAGAGAGAGAGAGAGAGTATAGTTCATCTTGGGTTCCATGCTTGTGGTTCTACTTTAATTAACGGATGATACCAAGTTAGAGATTGCCATTGTTTGAAGTTGCCATTATTTGGGAATCATAAGTTCAATGATGTTAAAATCCAGTCCCTTCTTTGCATAGCACGAAGTTCCATTATTTTAGATTCTTAATTTGAACTAGGTATAGTCTAGAGTAACCTAGAGTAACCCATTGTTTTATTAGGTCCTATTGTGTAAGTCATCCCTCTTAGTTGTGAGAATATATATTTTATTTAAAATCTTATATTTATAATGTCCTATTGTTTTAGAGTGTTAAATCTGATTACAGTTGTGAGATGAGAATATATGCTTTAGTTTCAAGCTTTAAAAAATTTCTTTTACATCAGTCAGAGAGAGAGAGTATAGTTCATCTTGTCCTCTTGCCTCTTCGAAGAGCCAGCCTTTGAGAAACAATGGAAGTAGAGGAGACTACATTCGAAGAAGATGACTCTTAGTCTTGAGTGGTAAGATTCTGGGTTGATAGAGACTCAAAGGGAATGGTGCATGCCAAACTAGTGTTATGGCCTGTAGATGTAGTGATCA